ATGCACATCAATATTGGTATTTTTGTAATCGGTATGAAGTCTACAGATCGAAAATTGATATGCAACGCCATTTAGAAATCCATGATGGCGGCATCCGATTTCAGAATAAGTGGGAAATACTGTCAAATACCCATCAATATAGGTATTTTTGGAATGAGGATGGCGTCTAGAGGCCGGAAATCGATATCTGACGCCATTTTGAAATCCAATAGGGCGGCTTCCCATTTCAGAAAAAAATGGGAAATGCTGATGCCGTCCCATCAATATGGGTATTTTTGGAATCGGGGTGACGTCTGGAGATTGGAAATCGATATCCGACGCCATTTTGTAATCCAAGACGGTGGCTTCCGATTTGCGGAAAAGTGTCAAATATCCTAAAATATGGTTATTTTCAGAATGGAGATGAGACGTAGATACCGAAAATTGATGTCACGCCGTCTTTAAATCGAAGATGGCAGCTTTGGTTCAGAAAAACTGTGAAATACTGTCAAATACCGATCAATATGGGTTTTTTGAAATCGAGCTGACATCTGGAAGAAAGAAATCGATGTCCGACGCCATCTTGAAATTCAAGATGGTGGCTTTCGATTTCGGAAGAAGTGTCAAATAGCCTACAAATGGCATCGAATATCGATTTTTAGCATCTACGCGTCGTCTTCGTTCCGAAAATGCCCAGATCTTAGGGTATTTGACACTTTTTTTGAAACTCGATGGCCGCCATATTGGATTCCAACATAGCGTCGGATATCGATTTTCGGCATCTACGCGTTGTTCCCGTTCCGAAAATACCCATATCTTAGGGTACTTCTACAGCTATTGATTGAGAGTTTGCTGTACCGTTTTTGCCTTAGTTTGGAGGCCTCTCCATACTTAATAGTATGGATTTTTTCATTTTGTTTTTATTTTGTCTATTTTTTACCATTCTGACTGACATTGGTTTCTTCTTCTTCTTCTTCTTCTTATTCGCATTTCAAGCTTATTGCTTAGCGCATATTAGCTTATTGCGTGCTCTCAACTTAGTGTTCTAAATGCACTTCCACAGTTATTAATTGAGAGCTTTCGATGCCAATACCAATGCATGAATTTGTATAAAGGGTGTCCACGATGAAATTGCCACACTATGAAATTGCTCTAACTTTTTAAACGTTGGGTAGAATTTAATGAAAATTTGGGTGGATTTAGTTCATAGTGCATTATTTACATCCTGCAAGTTTTAAAGTCCTGTGATCAAAACTCGCGGAAATGGAGTCGAAAGAACAGCTCGTGCGTGATAAAATCTTGCGCATTCATCACGAGAACAAGGATCTCTCGCATCGTTCCATCGCTAAAACGTTGGGAATCGCGAATTCCACGGTGTCGCGAGTGATTAAGCGGTTCGAGGAACGGTTGACCACCGATCGGAAGCCCAGAAGTGAAGGAAAAAGTATTCCGTACAACACCAAAAATCACAACCGCGTAGTTGGGGCCTTCAACCGAAATCCGAACGCCTCCGTTAGGGATGTGGCTAAGAAGCTGCACCTAAGCCGAAGTTTTGTCCAGAAGGCCAAAACTAAGGCTGGGCTTCGAACGTTCAAGGTACAAAAGGCCCCTAATCGCGACGAGAAGCAGAACAAGTCCGCCAAAACCCGTGCCAGGAAGTTGTACCTCAACATGCTGACGAAAATTGAATGCTGCATCATGGACGACGAAACATATGCGAAGGCCGACTTCAAACAGATCCCCGGCAACCTGTTTTTCACGGCCAAGGATAAGTTCAGCGTTCCGGAGCATGTCCGCATTCAGAAGATGTCCAAATTTGCGAAGAAATTCCTGGTTTGGCAAGCCATCTGCACGTGCGGGAAGCGGAGTGCACCTTTCGTGACCCAGGACACGATGAACGGACAGGTGTACATAAAAGAGTGCCTCCAGAAGCGGCTGCTTCCCCTCCTGAAGGCCCACAACGTCCCAACAATCTTCTGGCCGGATTTGGCCTCATGCCACTACTCCAAGGACGTGCTGAAGTGGTATGCGGACAATAAGGTCAATTTCGTGCCGAAAATGTTCAACCCTCCCAACACTCCGGAGCTCCGCCCCATCGAGAAGTACTGGGCGATTATGAAGCAGCACCTTCTTAAACGACCTAAGGTAGTGAAGACAGTCGAGGAGCTGAAGAAAGTATAGGTTTACATGCAAAAAACGGTTGATTCACAGGTTGTGCAGAATCTTATGGCCGGAGTTAAGGCCAAGGTGCAAGCATTTGCGTATGGACTGTAAATAAAATACGAGTAAAATGGTAAAATGAAGTTTAATAGTTATTTCTCAATCCCTGAAAATTTGATGGCAATCGGATGAAAACTCGAATTTTGCGAATCAATTTTGTGTGTGGCAATTTCATCGTGGACACCCTTTATTGTGTGGCAAGCACAATGATACTCTATGCCCAGGGAGGTCGAGAAAATTTCCAACCCGAAAGATTCCCTCGACCGGACCGGGAATCGAACCCGCCGCCTCCGGCTTGGTAATACCGTGCCTTTACTGACTAGGCTATGAGGCCCCACATTAGGGTATTTGACACTTCATAAAACCAATAGCCACTATCTTGAATTCCAAAATGGCGTCGGGTATCGATTTTCAGCATCCACGCGGCATCCTTGTTCCGCAAATACTCTATAATAGGGTATTTCTCGGGGTATTTGACACTTTTTCTGAAACCCGATGGCCGCCAATTTCGGATTCCAAAATAACGTCGAATATCGGTTTTCTGCACCTTCGCGTCGTCCTCGTTCCGAAAATACCCATATTGTAGGGAATTTGAGACTTTCCCTGACCTCGATGGCTGCCATCTTGGACTCCAGAGTTTAATATAAAATAATATATTATTACTAATATAATCCAGATGCCATCCCTATCGGCAACCGATATTGTGCGGATACTATCCGGATACTATGTTTTGATGCCTGCGTCGTCGGGTAGGGACAAGTCGAATGAGCCACGAATTGAAGTGAAAGTGCGTCAATTGAAATAAGTCTTAAATGAATGGAAATGAAATGAACTGAAGCACTTGACGAACGAAACAAGTGATAGTCCAGTCATGTTTGAAAAGAGGAATGTTCATCGTGACTCGGTAACAAGAAACACGATGACTTACACGAAAATGATATTGCTCGAAATGAAGCGATTCTGCGGAGAGTTCATTTTCTTTTCTTTGTTTCGAAAATGCAGAAATCGAAAGAAAGATCTTCCGGGGGAAATCCATAGGGCTTCTAACGAACAAGATCATTCAAATAGCTAATGGGAGTGCTTAGGGTACCTACCTTGCTCCAGAATGATCCAGGGCCCCTCCAGATTTTGTTGGTGAATCTAATACGAAAAATTTAACGTAATATTGCCTCCAAAGAATAATAGGCATAGATAATTATGCAAGGGGCCTTGTCCCCAGGGTACCCCCATTAGCTACGCCAATGGATAAGATGATTTCTTCACCAAACGGTGCTAGTGTACTATGTAACTTGTTGCAGAGTGGCCACTAAATTTAAAGAAATTGAATTCCCTGTTTTTCCCGGATGCCCACCATTCTTTTTCCGGTTTCATGTAAACTCTTAAAAATGTTTAAAAGGCAATACCCACATTTCAGCAATTTATGTAATTGGTAAAAAGTTACAAATATGGCGAATTTTGAACATCTCAGTTTTAAAAAGAAAACATGGCTCTTGGACTAGGACAAAATTTTAGGATTCTGTCACTGCGAAGCATTTGCTAGAGAATTGTGATGAGCATGCCAAATGAGTCTTTAGAAGAATCGTATGGGAAGTCTTGCGTCACTTTTAATTAATCGATTCTCTTCATCGACTCTCTCTTTCGTTAATAACTTGGCTGCATTCATATGTCGGGCAAATTTGAGTACATAGCATGTTAAAAAAAAAGTATTATTAAGCGTATTGGACGATAAGAACAGCTGAACATGTTTTTGGAGCCGAGTTATTAACGAAACAGAGAGTCGATGAAGAGAATCGATCAATGTAGATTGGTCTATTCGAAAAGTGACGCTAGAATTCTGGTAAGATTTTCAATGAAATTTTACTAGAAATTTTAGGTCATTTTGAGAAGTATTTCCAGAAAATTGTAACTACAATAAGGGCAAGGAGAGATTCAAGAAATTTTCAAGAGATCCCTCTCAAGAGCATTTTGAGAAGCATTTCAAGGAAATTCTACTGGTAAATCCTAAGAAATTTTGGGAAAATATTTTTTTCATATTCTAAATGGCATATACTAAGAGATTTCCAAGAAAATCCTAGGGAGAGAAATTATTGTAAATTCTCGCAAGAATTTTTAAGAATACCATAATCCGGAGGCAAATTGTTCACCGGAGTGAAATTGATCATTATGCGTTGCGCTTTTAATTGTCACATATATATGTATATCATTTTCGGTGATAGATATCAAGAGAAATCTTAATAGTATACCATCATGAGACTCCTTGATGCGTTTTTCATAACAAAAAGTTATATTTTATCGCATAAATTTCATTGTTATGTAGTTGACGTTAAGTTGCATACAATATCATCATCCAAACAAACGATCACAGGACTGCAACGGTTGATGTTATTTACCATTCAAGTAGCATTTTTTACTATAAACTAAGTGTCAATGAATCCGAATTATTTAATAAATTACGGTAGAATGTTTCAAATATCAAAAAATCCAGGGTTTTTCGCAAAATTACCAGTGATTTAAAATGAAATTGCCTACATTTAGGCGCAACTGTGCATTTACGCCATGTTTTTTTTTTTGGCGTTTCTGCTGAAAATACTTTTCACACAAGGGTTTTAGCATCTGAATCGGATTCAGGAAAGCCACATTTAATAAGAGCAATTACTAGAAAAGCACTGGGAAACCATTTCCATACAGAGCTGGAAAAAGGACCCATCTGCTTTGATCGATTCTCTTCATCGACGTTTCTCTTTGATGACCACCACTTACCACCTACGAGTCAAAGCTCAAATTATGCCTATCAAACTGACCTTTCGTTGATCCAGCTGGGAATTGTGCAACAGCGCCGGCGGCATCGATGGATACAATGTTACCATCACCCCGGTGTCCTTCAGTTCCACAATTTTCGCCGCATAAATGGCACCGAATTCCAAGTCCGGAATTTTCTCCACCTTCATCAGATTCTCTAGGTATTCCTTCGCCTCGTGCATAGCCGCCTCCGAGGGGGCAAATATCCGGAACGTATGCTCGTCTTCCTGGTTCAACTGGACACCCGTCTCCAGATACAGTCGCTTCGTGTTGATTCCGCCCGGGCCGAGCAGTTTCGAGCGTTGATGCGGTTCAATCTCCAGCTTGTCCGTCACCGGCCAGCAGTCTTTCTTCGACGTCCGAGCAGTGGCGATCGTTTCGTCCATGATGTCGATGATTCGGAAGCGCGCATCCATCGCTTTCTGCAGCGACTCCATCACGACCTGAGTAGCAACGACCATAATTTACGATCAAAACATGACACATTTACGCAACTACAACAACCCACCTTCAACGGAATTCCCGGCACCTTAATGTCCGCTTGGATTGCCGTCACACCCTTTCGCGTCCCAGCCACCTTCATATCCATATCGCCCATGTAGTCCTCAATCCCCAACAGATCCGTCAATATTCGATAATCTTGCAGATGCTTCGTATCATTGTTCTCGTATTTGGTGACCAAACCGATGGCAACGCCAGCCGCCGCTTCCTGCACCGGAACACCGGCATCCATCAGTGCCATCGATCCGGCACAAACCGTCGCCATCGAGCTGGAACCGTTCGACTCCAGCACCTCCGACGTCAGTCTTATCGTGAACGGGTGCTCATGTGGAATGATAGAAACCAGTCCCTTCTCGGCGAGAGCTCCATGGCCGATCTCCCGTCGCCCCACCGGGCCAATCTTTCCCATTTCGCCCGTTGCGTACGGCGGAAACTCGTAGTGCAGGAAAAAGTTCTTCGATTTAACTCCCATGTCGAGGGAAGTGATGGGATCCAGTTTGAGGGCGCTCTCGTGAGAATCTAAAGCTACGGTTGCAAAAACCTGCGTCTGACCTCGCTGAAACAGTGCCGAACCATGCAGCGGCTTATGCAAATTCACTGCGCATGAAATCTTCCGCAAATCATCCAAATGACGACCGTCACAGCGTCGGTCTTCCTCAAAGATCATCTCCCGAAAAACGCTCTTGCTAAACCGGTTGAAGCACTCCGTTATCAGCCCGGGATCCACACTCGGATAGCTTGACCAAACCTTATCGATCGTATCCGTCCGAGTTTTGCTAACAGCCTGATCCCGACTGAATTTATCGTGGGCAAAATCTCTGAAAATTTCTCGCAGCCTCATCTCCGACATGGTCCGAACAGCAGCCTCAATCTCTTCCTCCGCCTGAGGCAACGGTTCCAATGCTCTCTTCGTTTTGCCGAAAGCTTTCTGCAGCCTCTCGATTCCGTAGATGATCAACTGGGCCTCCTGCGTCCCCTTCTTGATCGCCATCCGAAGGTCGTTATCGTTCACAATATTCCCGCGACCCTCCAGCATGACAACCAGATTCTGCTTTGCTGCCGTCACGACCAAATCCAACGAGGAAAGCTGAAGTTCCTTCCGCGTAGGATTGATGATGACTTCATTATCCACCAGTCCAACCCTGACCGCCCCGATCGGTCCATTCCACGGTATATCGCTCAACGACAACGCCGCACTCGCGGCGTTAATTGCCTGTACATCCGGCAGGTTGCTCGAATCAATCGCTAGCATGTTACAAACAAGTTGAGTGTCGCTTCGATATTCCGCCGGAAACAACGGTCGGATCGATCTATCCACCAGCCTCGCCGCCAGGATCTCTTTCTCCGACGGACCCAACTCTCGCCGGAGGAAATTTGTAGGAATCCTTCCGGCGGCTGCCGCCTTCTGCCGATAGTCCACCACCAGCGGAAGAAACGAATTATTTCCTCCGGAAGGTTTCTGCTTAGCTACGGCCGTGACCATTACGGCGGTGTCGCCAACGCTGACCACCGAACAGCCATCGGCGAAGCGGGCATACTTGCCGGATGAAATGCGAATCACGCGGCTAAAATTAATGAAACAATGGTAGGCAAATTCGAGCATCACAATCGATCCGGTACCTACCCTGTGCTAAGAGGGACATCCACTTCAGGCGATTCAAGCGAGGAACTGTACGTTCGGTGCGGCGAATTTCTAACACGAAGGAAACCGTTGGAACCAAAGCAAACCCGCAAGCTGCTGCGGTGCCAACTGGCAGATCTGACGCGCTGTAACATTTTTATTTTACTAATTTAAATTTTAACAGTAGAAATTAGGGAAAAATTAAATGTATATCAAAAACTATTACGAAAACACATTTCCCGCACGAGTTTTCGCAGTGTTGTTCTTCTTCTCTTGCCGGCGACTGTCATCGAGGATTTTGTTGTGATTCTTGGCTGTTAGACCCCGTAACCGATGGCGATGATGCGAGATTCGACGGCTCAAAACTGCGGGTGGTGCTAGCATGCGTGGCTGCGTGCGGGTCACGAATTTTAGAAACGTCAAAGCAAAAGCAGAACCGGTCGCTGTTTACAAACGTTTTCGAGCTGCGTGAAATTTAATTTAACTTTTCCTCATTTAAATTTTCAATAATTCTCCACTTAAATAGTTTCAACTCGAAAAGCACAATGCCGATTTCATCGGAAGTGAATTTGGCGGAGGTTTTCTTCGTATGTATTGGTGTAAATTTCCATTTCCTGATTCGTCTCCGCCTAACCACGCATCTTTCCATCCATTCCGCAATGTAGAACGAGGAAGACTTGCCGTACGAGGAGGAAATCCTCCGCAACGCCTATTCGGTCAAGCACTGGATGCGCTACGTGGAACACAAACGCAGTGCACCCAAGTTTGTCATCAACACCGTTTTCGAGCGGGCACTGAAGGAGCTGCCCGGTTCGTACAAATTGTGGTACAACTATTTGAAGACCCTGCGGAGGCAGGTCAAGGGCAAGAGCATCACCGATCCGGAGTTTGAAGAGGTGAACAACGCCTTCGAACGGGCGTTGGTTTTTATGCACAAAATGCCCCGGATCTGGATGGACTACTGCACGTTCATGACCGGACAGTGTCGCATTACGAGAACGAGGCAGGTTTTCGACAGGGCGTTGAGGGCTCTGCCGATTACGCAGCACCAGAGGATCTGGCCGCTGTATTTGGAATTTTTAGGAAAGTTTGACATCCCGGAAACGGCGGTTCGAGTTTGGAGAAGGTATCTAAAGCTTTGCCCGGAGGACGCCGAAGAGTATGTGGAGTTTTTGATCGGGATTGAACATCTGGATGAGGCGGCCCAGCAGTTGGCGAGCATCGTTGATAACGAGAACTTCGTTTCCAAGCACGGCAAGTCGAACCATCAGTTGTGGAACGAGTTGTGCGAGCTGATATCGAAGAATCCGGATAAGGTACACTCGCTGAATGTGGATGCGATTATCCGGGGTGGGTTGAGACGGTACACGGATCAGCTGGGGCATTTGTGGAATTCGTTGGCGGATTACTACGTTCGGAGTGGCTTGTTCGACAGAGCCAGGGACATCTACGAGGAAGCAATCCAGACCGTGACGACCGTTCGCGATTTCAGTCAGGTGTTTGATGCTTACGCTCAGTTTGAGGAGTTGAGTTTGAGCAAGGTTATGGAAGAGATGGCCAAAAATCCCACCCCGACCGAAGCAGACGAGATAGATGTGGAGCTTCTAATGGCTCGGTTTGAATATCTGATGGAACGTAGATTACTGCTGTTGAACAGTGTGCTGTTGAGGCAAAATCCGCACAATGTGGCAGAATGGCACAAACGTATCGAATTGTATGAAAGTAAACCGCATGAGATAATCAACACCTACACAGAGGCGGTACATACGGTGCAGCCAAAGCTGGCTGTCGGGAAATTGTACACGCTGTGGGTAGAATTTGCCAAATTCTACGAAAAGAACAAACAGTTGGATGATGCACGGATCGTTTTCGAGAAAGCCGTCCAAGTCGACTACCTCAAAGTGGACGAACTGGCCAGCGTTTGGTGCGAATGGGCTGAGATGGAAATTCGGGTGGAAAACTTCGACGACGCTCTGAAGATCATGCAACGGGCGACTGCCATGCCTAAGCGAAAGGTAGCCTACCACGACGACACGGAAACGGTGCAGATGCGAGTCTACAAATCGCTGAAATTATGGTCCTTGTATGCCGATTTAGAGGAATCGTTCGGTACATTCCAAACTTGCAAGCAAGTTTACGATCGAATCATCGACCTTAAGATCTGCACTCCGCAGATCATCATCAACTACGGGCTATTCCTGGAAGAACACAACTACTTCGAGGAAGCATTCAAAGCCTACGAGAAGGGCATCTCACTGTTCAAGTGGCCAAACGTGTACGACATCTGGAATACTTACCTAACGAAATTCCTCAAACGCTACGGCGGTCAAAAGCTGGAACGCGCCCGAGATCTCTTCGAACAGTGCCTGGACGGTTGCCCTCCGGAGCTAGCCAAACATCTGTATCTCTTGTACGCCAAGCTCGAAGAAGATCACGGCCTCGCGCGTCATGCCATGGCAGTGTACGAGCGGGCCACGACTGCCGTCAAAGAGGACGAAGCATTTGCCATGTTCAACCTCTACATCAAGAAGGCCGCTGAAATCTACGGAATACCTCGGACGCGCCAGATCTACGAGAAAGCCATCGAAGCACTGTCGGAAGCCCAATCCCGCCAAATGTGTATGCTATTTGCCGAGATGGAGACGAAACTCGGAGAAATCGATCGCGCTCGAGCGATCTACGCTCACTGCAGTCAGATGTGTGATCCGCGAATCACCGCCGAATTTTGGCAGACGTGGAAGGAGTTTGAAATTCGTCACGGAAATGAAGACACGATGCGGGAAATGCTACGAATCAAGCGATCGATTCAGGCTACCTACAACACGCAGATCAACATGATGTCGGCCACGTTGATCAATTCGGCCGTCACCGGAGCCGGTTCGGAACCGAAGGATGCCATGCGAGCGTTGGAGGCGAAGGCGGCGGAAACCAGTGCCAGGGCCATTGCCGCCGTCGGGGCCAGTGGTGGAAACATTATGTTCGTCCGAGGCGAGACCCAGGGTGGATCGAAGAAAGGCGATAAGGTGCTCAATCCGGATGAAATCGATATCGATGAGGATGAAGAGGAGGAAGATGAAGCGGAAGGTGAGGAAGGCGCAGAAGAGGAGGATGTCAGCAAGAAGATGCCCGTGGAGAAACAGGTCATTCCGGCGAAGCTGTTTGGAAGTTTGCGACGGGAAGAACAGGAGGAGGACGACGAATAGAATGAGGAGGTGGTATGCTTCGATTAAACACTCAAATGTGGTGGAAATGGTTGAATCTGTAGATTTGGTCAAGATGACATCCGTTCAAGCTGGGCTGACGTACTGAAAGCAAATCGACGGGTAAAACACAGATATACAGACATAACACTCGCATATTGTTTGTCGAGCACGCATTTAAGTTGGTAGTATCTCCGCTTGTGGCGCGCATTGTCAATTCCCTAGCCTTTGACGTTTACACACTACCGCCATCGGTTGAGCGTATTTACCTTCACATTGTACTCAACAGATGGCGATAGTGATTTAGCGACGATGTTTGGCAAAGAAACATGTTCAATGCGTTATGCCTGTTTGTCTGTGAATAAAGGTTCGGTAAAGGACATTTGATTACATTGGCGTTGAAGGCCACTCTGTAGCTCTTGACTTCCTATAGGCCTGTATAGAGATCGAAGCGAAGCGAAAACCTCATACATAATACTACATTTGTCACCTGCGTGAAAAACGCAATAAGGCTGTCCACGAGGACGAGACAGTTGCGATCAGCTGACTTCTTTGTTTACCAAGAACTTTTGACAGATCACAGTAGAACTGACAGTTCACTCTCATATGAATTTCTGCTTTGTTTATGTTTACATTCAGCACCATAAATACCAGATCACTCACACACTCTTGATTTCTAGCTGTCTGTCACTGAGAAACGTCTCTTGGATCACCTTATTGGCAAATTTTTCACTTCGCTTTGAACTGTAAAGGCATAGAGGTAACTCTAAGACCACTGGGTCCCGAAGAAAATCATTATTATTTTTGGCTCACTCAGTACCAGAACAACGGTCCCAAGCAGTCCCAAGCTATTTCACTCACCCCTGCATGTTCTGCATGAATCCAAACACCCCTGATGTTATCTGTCAAACTTTCATAGCGAATCAAAACAAACATAGTGTAGTAATAGAATTTCAACTAGAATAGGGTACGTTAATCGTTTGCTTGGGACCAATAGGCTACTAAAGTGGTGAGCCAATTTAAAATCGTTAGTTTCGTATTGATTGTTGGTAAAGGCCTGTATAGAGATCGAAGCGAAGCGAAAATCTCATACAAAATACTACATTTTTCACCTGCGTGAAAAACCCAATTGGCAAATATTTCGCTTTGTTTTGAACTGTAAACAGATACCATAGAGGTAACTCTAAGACCAGTAGGTCCCGAAGAAACGTGCTCAACTTTTTGGCTCAGCTCTGGTACTATCTTCGGTCCCAAGTTAATCGATTCACCCCTCGAAACATAGGAAAAACCAATAACCCCTCATTTTATCTGTCAAACTTTCATAGCGAATCAAAACAAACATTGTGTAGTACTAGAATTTCGACTAGAATGGGATACGTTAATCGTTTGCTTGGGACCAAAGTTGGTGATGATTTAACCTCCGAAACCGTACAGAGTGCGTGTCTGTTGCTTCAAAGCGTAAACGACATCGATGGCCGCTTACGCTTGGCGTGTTTAGTGTAGGTGGCAGCATCACGGATCGCATTTTCCAAGAACACCTTCAGTACACCTCCTAGATCAGACCGGAGACACGTTTGACACCGCCACGGCGAGCCAGACGACTGTTTTTGCTGCTTCTGCTGTCTGCTCACCACAACGTCCGAAGCGAAAATGAGTTGAGGCTAGACAGCAGCGTTGTTTTATATCTTTTCAGGTCAAAGCAAAATGATGTGCAACCAAGTGGTACTCGATTATGACGACTGCGTTTGGGAACAACGTTTTATTTCAATAGTTTCTTGTTGAAAACCATCAGTTGGAAGCATTGCGTAGACATATTTCTGATCGATTGGTGATAAAATTATTGAAATTGATCCAGGGGCAGCTGAGTTATTAATGTTCAAAATCTTTCATGAATTTGTTTCATATTCCATTTTCAGTTTTCACAAAGTGTACCCCAGTATAGAAATTAAAGACGTAGTCCTACGTCAAAAGAAGAAATAGAGACGGGATTAAAAGTTAATCCGAGTAGGAGCTTATGGGGTGTTTACATCTGTGCGGATTTGCTAACTGAGTGTAGTTGTATGAAGAAAACAAGCATTTTGAATGGTAATGGTTCTTAACAATCCATTATTTGTAAGGTCCACTTCCAAAAAAAAACATAATACATAAGATTCAAACTTTATCACGAGCTTTATCACTCAAAAGTTCATGTAAAGTTCCACAACCATTTCAGTTAAAGTTTAGCAGAGATTATAAACAATTTTTAACCATTTTAGGTAAGGTTCCCATTTATGCGAGTGGCTACTTGTTTGTACAGTGCTAGTTCACTAGCGCTAGCAAATCCGCACAGATTTTAACACCCCATAAGCTCGAACTCGGATGAACTTTTAACCCCGTCCCTGTTTCTTCTTTTTCATCGCATTTCAAGCATTGCTTATCGCATATTAGCTTATTGTGTGCTCTCAACTTAGTGTTCAAATTGCACTTCCACAGTTGTTAATTGACCACTTTGTCAAGCAGTTTTGGCGTGACTTTCTACCAGCGATTTCACAAAACTGGACCAACTAATTTCTATTTTTTTATGAAACGCACAAATTTTGGCTACTTTTCTCGAGGTTCTAGAAGAAAAAATCTCAAAATTATGTTTTATTTCAAAGTTCGAGTGGTAGTAAACGTCATTTTAAGTGCTCGAATGAAGTGGTTAATTGAGAGCTTTCGATGTCAATACCAATGCATGAATTTGTATATTGTGTGGCAAGCACAACGATACACCACCGAAAACCGAAGTGAAACTTAAACTTAACTCTTGTTCGAGAATCCATAACGGTAGATTCAAATGTACAGTGATCCCATCTGTCAAAACCATAGAAATGTTTGTCCGAAATAGATATAAATATTTTCCGCTACCACGGCGGCAGATGTCAGTTTTGTGCTTTGATCAGAAATTTCTTTGTAATTTGTATGATCATTCATGTCGGTTTGTCGGTGGATACACTACGCCCAAGGAAGTCGAGAAAATTTCCAACCCGAAATTGTCATATTAGATGCTAGATTGTTGCTTCTTCCATCGAACTGAGTCGAAAATATCCGGAAATATCTTAAGATGGCGATCCAAAGAGAAATTCGATGAAGAGAATCAATGAATGTAGATAGAATCTATTGAAAAGTGACGCGAGAATTGTTAGGGTGGCACAAATGCCCCTAGATCCCCTAAAACTCTTAAGTAAAAGTATGAAAAAAGTTGTTCCAATCGAGCAAAGCAGTACATTTTGACGGTTCGACTGAAACAACTTTTGACAGACGGCCATACTTTTACTTAGAGGACTATAAGATCCACTACGCTCAATGGTTGACTTGTCAAGCTAGTGTTAGTGTTTTGGTAACTGGAATTACACTCACCATATAAATCACAAGCAAGCACGTGATTGGTAGACTTGAGCCATAAATTTTAATCAATTTTCACTAGTTAACTATTGATAAACAATTGTAATTTTTAATAACAAGCAAATCTTACTTAAATTCTGAATCAAACGTCCTCAATTTGTAAATTTTTAATATGTACCCCAAGTAGCTATAGCAGGCCCAACTAGCCGTCCTGGAAAAAAACATAAAGTTGCAAATACTGAAGAAAGAAATACGGATCGGAACAATCGGCACAGACCTACGCGACGAAATAAGGACTACGATTGGAAACTCGGAACATGGAACTGCAAATCGCTCGGCTTCCCGGGCGAACTACGCAACTTCGAAGTCGTAGCACTGCAGGAGCTTTGCTGGACGGGACAAAAGGTATGGAAAAGCGGGCATCGAGCGGCTACTTTCTACCAGAGCTGTGGCACCACCAACGAGCTGGGAACCGGCTTTGTAGTGCTGGGTAAGATGCGCCAACGCTTGATTGGTTGGCAGCCGATCAACGCGAGGATGTGCAAGTTGAGGATTAAGGGCCGTTTCTTCAACTACAGCATCATCAACGTGCACTTCCCACACGAAGGGAGACCCGACAACGAGAAAGAAGCGTTCTATGCGCAGCTGGTGTACGACGGCTGATCGCAACGGGACGACAAAATCGTCATCGGCGACATGAACGCTCAAGTAGGACGGGAGGCAATGTATAGACCGGCAATCGGGCCAAACAGCCTGCATGCCGTATCGAACGACAACGGCCAACGATGCGTGAACTTTGCAGCCTCTCGAGGAATGGTAGTTCGAAGTACCTTTTGAAGATAATTAGCAATGTGTGCTGCCCCTCGTCATCTACCGGTTGGTCGTGCCCCACACATCTTTTTTCCATTGGGACGACCAAACCTCGCCGACGCTGAGACGGCGCGAATAGAGAAGTGTTTCAGTTGAACTTTGTACATCCGACAAGAAAGACGCATTAAAAGTTCCCTTTTGATAGTTTTATTAAATCCTCGTGGTCGATTCCTTTTTCGGTAATCCGAAACCAACGCTGATTCCCCTGTGCGGTCAATCCGACTCTCCCACAGGTTATGGGCCCAGGAAGCGTTTCGGAAAGTGCGAAAGAAGATTTTTGAGAAATTTTTCGGTTCGCGTTGCGGTCGTCGCAAGTGGCTAGTCGGCGTCGGGAGTGAGTGAACAAAATGGCGGATTTCAAGGGATTCAATTTCGACAAATTGAACAATTTCAATTGGAGCGCATGGAAATTCCGCATCGAAATGTTGCTCACGCGGGACGAGGTTTGGCACACGATTGCCGAGCCGAAGCCGGAGCCAGCGGACGACAACTGGAAAAAGGCTGACCAGAAGGCGAGAACGGCTATCAACCTTTCGATCGAGGAGAACCAGTTCTACCTTGTGAGAACTGCTGATTCGGCGAAAAAGTGTTGGGATAATTTGTGTGCACACCACGAAAAAGCGAGCATCACGACGCAAGTGGCGCTGCTGAACAAGCTGTGGCGCATGGATCTTTCCGAGGATGGTGATGTTGAGTGTCATGTTCGGGAGTTGGATGCATTATACGATAGGCTTGCGGCTGTGGGGCACGCTCTAAGTGAATCTTTCAAGATTGTGTTGCTCTTCCGAAGCTTGCCCGAATCGTATCAAGGGCTGGCAACTTTGTTGCAGAGCCAGATCGACGCCGGTACGACGCTGGAAGCAGTGAAAGTGAAAGTGCTTGACGAATATGAACGCCGATGTGAGCGTTCTGGAAGAGCTTGTGGATCGGCGAGCAGTGAGGCTACCGCCATGAAGAGTGCGACAAAGAAGAGTCGCGAGAAGAATAGTGCGGGGAAAACGTGCTTCCATTGTGGAAAGGCGGGTCATATTCGGCGTGACTGCCGAGCGTGGAAGAACGAGAAGCAGGGCGATGCAGAAAAGAAGAAGCCCGAAGTGAAACCGAGTGCGAAGAAAGCCGATAAAAGTGCGAAGAAATCTAACGATGTGTGCTTTATGGTTGCCAACGAAAAATGCACCTCGTGATACATCGATAGTGGCGCAAGCTGTCATATGACGAATGACGAGCGGTTTTTCACGGAATTGGAGAAGAAGAACGGACCAAGTGTTATTTTGGCAGACGGAAAAGTAGTTAAAACGGCGGGTTGTGGTTATGGCACACTGCGCGGAGTGAACGGTAGCGGTGACGTCATCAACGTGAATCTTTCTGAGTCTCGAAGTGCAGAAGAAGAACAATGTGTACAGCGTAAGCTTGATGAACTACATAGACCAGTTGGTAGCGAAGACGGGACTCAGTGAAGCAAAAGTGTCGAAAACGCCGATGGACAAAGGATTTTTGAGTGATGAAGTGAACAGCGAACCGCTGGAAGACATTACGAAGTACAGAAGCGCAGTGGGTGCATTGATGTATATTGCCGTTTGCGCTCGCCCCGACATTATGAACAGTGCTGCAATCCTGGGGCACAAGTTTAGTGCTCCTTCCGAGAGAGACTGGACGGCGGCCAAACGCGTTATCCGCTACCTCAAAGGAACGCGCGATTGGAAGCTGACTCTCGGGGGCGAAAATAGTGGACTTGTTGCATACTCGGACAGTGATTGGGCAGGAGATGTCGGAACACGGAAGTCTACTACGGGCTTCGTCGTGTTCTATGCAGGAGGAGCGATTTCGTGGGCCAGTCGGCGGCAAGAATGTGTAACGCTGTCGACACTGGAAGCGGAATACGTCGCCTTAACGGAGACGTGCCAAGAGGTGATCTGGCTGCGTCGACTACTTGATGATCTTGGAGAGAAGCAGGCCGCCGCAACTGTGGTGAACGGCGACAATCAAGGATGCCTCAGTTTTGCTCGGTCCGAACGATCTAGCAAGAGGTCCAAGCATATCGAGACTAAACGACACTTCGTGAAGGACCTTTGTGAACGCGATGAGGTGGTGCTGAAGTACTGCCCTACGGAGGACATGAAGGCGGACGTTCTCACGAAGCCGTTGGGTGGAGTCAAGCATCACGGCTTAGCCAAGCAGCTTGGATTGGACAGTGGCGAGACGAGGGTCAACCATTGAGGAGGAGTGAAGAGAATTAGCAATGTGTGCTGCCCCTCGTCATCTACCGGTTGGTCGTGCCCCACACATCTTTTTTCCATTGGGACGACCAAACCTCGCCGACGCTGAGACGGCGCGAATAGAGAAGTGTTTCAGTTGAACTTTGTACATCCGACAAGAAAGACGCATTAAAAGTTCCCTTTTGATAGTTTTATTAAATCCTCGTGGTCGATTCCTTTTTCGGTAATCCGAAACCAACGCTGATTCCCCTGTGCGGTCAATCCGACTCTCCCACACCTTTTTCCCCCGCAAGGATATCCACAAAGCCACCTGGAGATCACCTGACCAACACACAGAAAACCAAATCGATCACGTTCTAATCGACGGGAAATTCTTCTCCGACATTATCAACGTCCGCACGTACCGCAGTGCGAACATAGATTCGGACCACTACCTAGTTGCAGTATGCATGCGCTCAAAACACTCGACGGTGCATAACACCCGTCGAAATCGAACGCCGTGACCCGACATTGAGCTACTACGGGACGCCGGAGTTGCCTAGAACTACGCGCAGCAGCTGGAAGTTGCACTACCCACGGAAGAGCAGCTTGGCGCAGCTTCTCTTGAAGATGGCTGGAGGGACATCCGTTCCGCCATAGGTAGTACTGCTGCAGCGGCACTAGGTACTGCAATCCTGGACCGAAGAAATGACTGGTTTGACGGCGAATGCAAACTGTTAGTTGAGGAAAAGAATGCAGCACGGGCAAGACAAGCGCGGAACAGACGAAACTCGGTTTTCCAAAGGAAGAAGCGTCAGCAGGAAGACCGAGATCGCGAGGTGATGGAAAATCTGTACCGCGTAAACGACACACGGAAGTTCTAGGAGAAGCTAAATAGTTCGCGCAAAGGCTACGTGCCGCAAGCCGATATGTGCAAGGACTTGGACGGTAACCTTCTCACGAACGAGTGTGAGATGATTGAGAGGTAGAAGCAGTACTATGACGAGCACCTCAACGATGACGCAGCAGAAAACGAAGGTGGCACGGCAACATACCTTGGAGCACGCGCAGAAGACGACAGGCTACCGGCCCCTGATCTTCAAGAAGTTGAGGAGGAGTTCGGTCGGCTGCAGAACAACAAAGCAGCTGGTGTAGATCAACTACCAAGTGAGCTATTAAAATACGGTGGTGAAGCACTGGCTAGAGCGCTGCACTGGGTAATTGCCAAGATTTGAAGGGAAGAGGAGATATTACCGGAGGAGTGGATGGAAGGTGTCGTATGCCCAATCTACAAAAAGGGTGACAAGTTGGATTGCTGCAACTACGGCGCGATCACACTGCTGAGCGCCGCCTACAAGGTATTCTCCCAAATTCTATGCCACCGCCTGTCACCATTTGCAAGAGAGTTCGTGGAGCAATACCAGGCGGGATTCATGGGTGCCCGCGCTACGACGGGCCAAATTTTCGGGATTCGGCATGTTCTGCAGAAATGCCGCGAATACAACGTGCCCACATATCATTTGTTCATCGATTTCAAATCCGCATACGACACAATCGATCGAGATCAGCTATGGCAGATTATGCACGAGTATGGATTTCCGGATAAACTGACGCGATTGGTCAAGGCGACGATGGATCGAGTGATTTGCGTTGTTCGAGTATCGGGGACACTCTTGAGTCCCTTTGAATCTCGAAAGGGGTTACGGCAAGGTGATGGACTTTCGTGTCTGCTATTCAACATCGCGTTAGAAGGTGTGATCAGAAGAGCTGGGATAGACACGAGTGGCACGATCTTCAGGAAGTCCATCCAGCTTCTTGGCTTCGCCGATGACATTGACATCATGGCACGGAACTTTGAGACGATGGCGGAAACGTACATCAGACTGAAGGCTGAAGCTAGGCGGATTGGACTTGTCATCAAAGACAAAATACATGAAAGGAAGAGGTTCTAGGGAAGACAATGTTAGCCTCCCACCCCGAGTTCAGATTGACGGTGACGAAATCGAGGTGGTCGATGATTTCGTGTATTTGGGCTCACTGGTGACCGCCGAAAATGAAACCAGCAGAGAAAATCAAAGACACAATATGGCAGGGAATCGTGCCTACTTTGGACTCCGGAGGACGCTCCGGTCGAATAAAATTCGCTGCCGCACGAAGTTGACTGTCTACAGGACGGTGGTCCTCTACGGCCACGAGACCTGGAGTATGCTCGTGTAGGACCCTTGGTGTTTTCGAACGGAAGGTGTTGCGTACCATCTACGGTGGAGTGCAGATGGATGACGGAACGTGGAGGAGGCGAATGAACCACGAATTGCACCAGCTGCTGGGAGAACCATCCATTGTCCACATTGCAAAAATTGGGCGACTACGGTGGGCTGGGCACGTCGTAAGAATGCCGCACGACGACCCAGTGAAAATGATTCTAGAAAGCGACCCAACAGGAACAAGAAGAAGAGGCGCGCAGCGGACAAGGTGGATCGACCAAGTAGAAGGGGACCTGCGGACCCTTCGCAGACTACGAGGCTGGCGAAGTGTGGCCATGGTTCGAGTAGAGTGGAGACGACTTCTTCGGACAGCAGAGGACAACAAGGCCTTAGCCTTAGTAAGGTAGGTAAGTAGCTATATTTTACAATGACGTAGTGTATTCTCAGTACACTCCAACTACAGACAAGGCCGTTCGGATAAATTGTTACGTTCATCTCTCGGTATTGATTTGTTTTAAAATTTATGATTAATTTGCCTAAACGAATCACTATCGGCGACATTTGTACCTAACATAGGTCTACAAAATTAGCCGGCAGAAGGAATCCACCACGCTGTACACTCCGACCACCGGCAGGGCTTTACTTTCGCTGAAAATATCCACAATCTCACTGTAGATTTCCATAATATTACGCTTGTACTTGGGATACCGCTCGATCAGGGCCTTCAACTCGACCGAATTCGGGGATCCTTCATCATCGTTGCTGCACTCGGCCGGATCAATCAGGCCAATCAGTCCCCGCAGTGGAGCATTCGGCAGATCTACCATGATCAGTGATATCTTCTCCTTCTTCTGGAACTTGGACAGTATCGGAGACAGTCTGTGCTCAACCTGGTTCTCGTAGCGACGTTTCTTGTTGGTGTTGACCTTTTCCGCTATGAGAAAAATGAGATCCAGTGAAGCGGTGCTGTTGTTCTGGTTTTGGCTGACCAGCGAGGGTACGCTCTTGGCCGAGGTGGAGCTTGCGAGGGATGCACTCTGCAGGGCTGTCGTCACTTCGTTGGTCGATTGATCTGGGCGAAGGATTTTCAGAATATAACCGAACAGCTCCGGTCGGGTGATGTGACACTCCTGGAAACGATCGTGATTCCAGGTGCGGACCCGCAGCTCGCCACCTTCTCCGAGCATCACTACCAAGTTGGCTCCTGCTTCCTTGGCTGATTCTTCCATGGAAATGGCGCCCTCCAGAATACCAGTTTTGATTCCATGAGACCAAAGGAAACGCAAAATTTGGACAACTTCCTTCAGGGGAGGCCTGGAACCGGTGATGCTGATCATTACCTCTACAGGTTCACAGCCACCGGTCGGTCCCAAGGCATACACCAGCTTGTCCAGATGAAAGCTGAATCCGGCACCGCTGAGTTCAACCTTCGGAACCTGCAGTCCGTTGCTGATTCCGGATATCCTGAAAATTCAAGAATACTTTAAATCTCGATTTTTCGGTTTCAAAAATAAGTACTCACTGAAACTCCGCCAACTTAGAATCGTACCGTCCCCCGACCGCGATCGTAGTCAACGGATTCTTCTTCTTTGCCTTCAACTCTCCGATCAGCTGCCAAACGACGCCTCCTCCCTTCGTCCGTTCATAGTTGATCGGCAGTCCCGGGCAGATGATCATCGGCACCTGCACTCCCAATCCCTGTGCCAACGAATGGACCATTTCCAGTTCTCGTATCGCTACCTTGGCCAGTGTTGCCGCCTCACCGCGTCCCTTGATCAGTGTCTTCAGCAGAGTACCATTGATCTGCGATAGCGAGATTTCTATCTGCAACGCATCGCACAGAAAAGCAGTGTTGATCTTGACTCCCAGTTGCGTGATCTGGCTGTTGATCCAGGAGATCAACTGAAATTTTGAGATTTTTGCATCGAAAAAGTCCAGCACTATCTCGAAGAGTTCTTTGTATTTGTCCGAAGGAACGTTACAATACAGCAAGATCGATCGGAGCAAGTTGATGTGGTTTAAGCGGAAGAATATGTTCCGCTGCGTGTCCAGTAGATTCAGTTCTCGCATAATTTCGTTGGCAATCGATAGAAGTTCTGCGTCGACGATAAGATTTCCGCGGTTGGGAGTTACGACGTCGAAGGCACACTCGTAGACCTGCTTCGGATGGAAGTTGAAGACTTTCTTTTCGCGATAAACACGTCCGATCGAGTAGCGGCGGATGAATTTGATGCCATTGAGAGCGACATGACGCATGAATGGAATCCGTAGATCATCTGGAAGAGACACTATACTGCCGGAGTGGGTCATCAGTTTGACAGAATTGTTCCGGGCGTTGGACTTGGTGTACGGGGTTAGTAGTGGAGTGACGACTTCGATGGCTCCGTGTTTTCTGAACAGTTCGATAATTTTGGACTTGACGTAATCGAATCGGGGGATGATCGGGACCATGTCCAGGTGGTAGCTGAGTTCACAAATGGTATCGCTTTCCTGAGCGAAACAACGGGCTATCAGATGTTTGTAGTGTCGAGATTGAGGATTAGATAGGACATGACGGACGATGTCCTGAATCTCTCCTGCTTCCAGACGGATCGGTGGTACTAGCTCCGAGGATAGCAACTCCTCGGCGGTGGGTCTTTTACTTGGGTCGTGGTTCAAAAGCCATCGAATGACTTGAACCTGTTGTGAGAATTTTCCATCGTTTAGGATTTGCTCTGGAAAGCTTACCGTATCCGAGCGGAGATCCATCATGGTTTTAACTCGTTCCATTCCGGTAGCCAACGGAGGCGTACTCATTTCGAATAGGATAATGCCGAGAGAGTAGAGGTCAACCTTTTGGTTGTAGGTGGATTTAGAAGCATTACCGGTGAGTTCGGGTGCTACGTATAGAGCAGTACCGACCTTGCCGGTCAGCGAGTTGCCCATGTCCAACGAAGCGGTCTGATGACTTTGAACTATCCGTTCTGAAATTTAACAACAAAAACGTTATAATCTGTAACCAAGCAGGACCACGCAATGCCATCTACCAACCTTGCTGTTGATTCTGCAGAGCTAGAATACTGGTAGTTGCCAGGCCAAAGTCGCCGATTTTGACCTGATCCCGTGAGTCGAGGAAGATGTTGACCGGTTTCAGATCCCGATGGATCATGCCCTGCTGATGAATGTGGCTAAGACCTTCAGCAATCTCACGAAACAGGCGCCAGACACGATCGACGTCCTCGTAGAGGTTGGAATCGATGGCAGTTCTATAGAAGAAGAAGATTGATGCAATGTTTAAGTTTTTGACCGTGATCAACTTAGTTTTAGAAATTGCATTTTCTACGAAAGCATTCCTGTTCCCTTACCTCAACGTGCTCTTCTCGCAAAATTCCATCTGGATGTACATGTACAGCACTTCCGGGCTCCCCGTCGCGGCGCCATCACATTTGCCCTTTGCATTGTCTCCGGCCACACCTTCGCTGAAGCTCGCATACGTTGCCACATCCCCATTGGAGTCCACAAATTCAATACCATCGGAACTACCATCTCCGTCGTCGTCATCGTCATCGTCGTCGTCGCTACTGCTTGAATCGATTGCCATACAATCCAGCACCCAATCCGAGTTTTTGTCGTTATTCTTTTTGATAACCTTAGTCGGTGCCACCCTCTTCGGGGCACTACCAGCACTGATAGACCAATCGCAACTCGAATCCACTCCGTGCTGTTCCAGTTCACCCGGACTGACTGCCTCCACCCAACTGTTATAGTAACGGACCACATTCTCATGGTTCAGTCTCGAGAGCAGTTCCACCTCCCGAGTCATCTTCTTGTAGAACTGTTTGCTCCGCGCTGGAAGCAATATACGCTTGATCGCGTATTGCCGGTTGTCCAGGATGTTACGCACCTTCAGCACATCTCCGTAAGCCCCTTTCCCAATGTAGGACAGCCTCTCGAACTCCGTTTGAAGACGAGACTTTTCCGTTGCGAGGGAAGTTGTCATGTACGCCGGGATGGAGTGGTGAGATCGCTCTGCCACTTGCAAATCGGAGGGTTTCGGTTCCCGGGGAGAGTGGTGGTTCTTTCTTAGGATGTCTTGAAACAGGATCGGTCGAAGGAATGGATGCTCGAGAAGATCCGAACCCGAAATGGTCCGTTCCGATTTGCAGCGATCGATGAAGTCCTTCATTTCCGAATGCGCATTAAATAGCGCTTCGATTAGCGATCCCAACGCAGGAAGGTCACTTCGGACGCACTGTTGGCCACTGATGAGCTCCTGGATGTATGGAATCAGTTTGAAATCGGCCACTCTTATGCTGCCACTATTATCGATGAAAACCGCCGAATCCGAGAGATTGTCGTGCGAAACTCCATTGTTGTGGAGATATATCAGTGCTTCCAGTATGCCTTTGGCGACCATACTGGCTCCTTCCGCCGACCATCCCAGTGATCCAGAAATGGTGAAAACGCTCGTCCCCAGAATGAAATCCTGAACCACATACACATCGATTCTATCCTTTCCGACCTTGCAGTGAATCCCCTCGTAGGAAATCAAATTTTTGTGCCTCAAATTTGTCAAGCTGCTCATCTGCTTCTCCAGCTCGCTCACCACCTCTTCCGGTGTCTTCCCGGAAATCGTTTTTCCTTCCTTGTCCAATTCGATGTTCCATTCCGTCACGTACACCAGCTGTCCGGTTTGAACATCGATCCCCGAGTAAGCGATACAACCTCGCTGCGAATGTCCCAAGCATGATCCTTTCACTAGTTTCTTCCCATCCCGGAAGAACAACGTTTCACTCCTACGGTGATCCAGGCAAAAGTGCTCCAACCCCCGGAAGCTGTTCCCATCACTGTTCTCCGAAGAGCTCATACTACGGTGCATCGGACTGGCCTCATTGATGCTATGCTTGGATTCCCTTCTCGTCTTTTCCAGTTCTTTCTTGCGCTTCTGCAGCTCATCTTGGATGACCTGTCTTCGCTGGTCTTCCTCTGCCTTCAGGGTATTCAGCCGCTCCCGAGCGATCTTCTGTTGGTTGGCCAACATCTCATCGTAGAAGCTGCCTTTGGGCGGAGCATTGTGCTGATGCAGGAACCCTTCCACGGTAGCTGCCAGCTCGTAGATCATAACTTCCCCTTTCAGCTGGTCAGCTTGCTTCTTCAGCGTATCCAATAAGTCCTGTACCAGTGCATCCGACAGACCTACCGTATTCTCGAGCTCGATTTTGGGGGGACTAAAATCGAAACAATAATCATCTTCTGGTAAATTCATTGACAAAGCTTCAAATTGCACTTACTATTTCGGATAGTTTTTTCCGCAGGTGATTCGTAGTTGGGTCTTTGCGTAAAACTCCCGTGCAGAACCCTTTTGTGGGGTGAGTTTTAGCCGCACCTCCAGTGGTCGCCATTTAACACCGGGTGGACGTAGATCTTCGACTTGCGTTTCGTAGATCGAGCGGATCACTCCTAGTTCGGTTTCCTGCCGTTCCCGAAAGGTTTCTTTGCTGCTGCTGCTGGCCATTCTTCGGCGTAGGTTGGGCGTCTAGCAGATGTTTCTACTACTATGATGATGCATTGTTGTTTACGATATAACCACGTACAAATTGTTGCACAACTAGGTGAATACTAGCTGTAGCTACAGGATAATTCCTGGCGGTGTTCAATTTCTGATGCACAAGCCTGGAAATGTTGCACTGTACGCATAAATACTAAACTGCTGCTAGCGATTGTTTTTTGCGACGTATAATGTCAGAATTTCAAAAACATAACAAACCAATCTTGTCTATACAAGGTGTAGAGATCTAGCCTTCACGTATGTGTTGGTAGAGGAAAAAAGGTAAACATTGCGGGACATGATGACCACGACGTCATAGCACTCGAAAGCAAATTTGTGAAAAATATGAAGTACATCAAATTCTATATCCGGGAAATATCAGCAGGCGTTTTGTATTTTTATAGTAACTCCTTACTTGGAAACGGGCAAAACCTCACCAGTAGGCTGCTTTTTCATGGTATATAGTATGCTAATAAAATAATCAATACATTATCTCAACATCCAGTGGAAACACATTCATAAATTTTGGCTTCAAACAGAAATTCTATAATTCATATTCAATTTCCAATGCAAACGCTGATTGAAACAAACGTTATCACGCTTACTCGGAAGTACCCATTAAATGAGTATCTTCCCTAATAAACAAAAACCATAAACGAACTATATCCCGGATGGGTAAACTATCCCACAAATGGTTTGGATGATACCCCGAACACGTCGTTAAGCTCTCTTTTATGGTTATTTTTATTAGGGTTGTACTCATTTTGTGAAGTTATTCAAATCTGTCAAAAAATGGGTATTTTCAAAAAACGAAAACCGGGTAATTTTTCCCTATTTGAGAAAATGTCTTCTGCAAAAAGAATGGGTAAAAATATGCTTTCAATCAACGTCAACGCATCCCTGACGAAGTGAAGACCCAACGTGTCTGATATTTTTTTATATTTTTTTTGCCCTGCACGCTATTTTAAAACTACCCAAGTTTGGGTACAATCCACCCAGATCGGTCAAAACTGAACCTACCCAAAAATGGGTAAACTGTGTTGGAAGTTACAAGTTGACAAATGAACAACATCGACATGAATCCGATCGACGTTGTTAATTTTTCAACTTGTCACTCCCAACATAGTTTACCCATTTTTGGGTAGGTTCAGTTTTGACAGATCTGGGTGGACTCTACCCAAAATTGGGTAGTTTTGAAATAGCGTGTAAGTGTTGCGATCATTCGCGAATTCACGCTCCTTCAATGTTACTCAAAAAAGAGTAAAAATCTACTCTCTTTCGGTAAAAGTGGAACTACCAACAATCAATACGAAACTAACGATTTTAAATTGGCTCACCACTTTAGTAGCCTATTGGTCCCAAGCAAACGATTAACGTACCCTATTCTAGTTGAAATTCTATTACTACACTATGTTTGTTTTGATTCGCTATGAAAGTTTGACAGATAACATCAGGGGTGTGTGGATTCATGCAGAACATGCAGGGGTGAGTGAAATAGCTTGGGACTGCTTGGGACCGTTGTTCTGGTACTGAGTGAGCCAAAAATAATAATGATTTTCTTCGGGACCCAGTGGTCTTAGAGTTACCTCTATGGAACTACTCTAAACTACTCACTTTTGAGTAATGCTAGCATTTGTCAAAATCAGAGTAACTTGTACTCAGTTCTGATTTGCAGTAAAAAAGCATATCTGAGTAAATGTTACTCAGTTCATATAAAATTGAGCGTTTTTCGAAATGAGTAATTAATTCATTTTATATTGATAAAATATGAAAAATTAAAACGATAGAACAAACAATTTTATTAAAATATAAAAGAGGAGACGTACATTTATATTTAAAAAACAATGTTTTCGGTGTCTTACACGCAGAAAAAACTATCGTCGTAACAAAAAATTTGAGGTAAATTTAAACGTAAACTATGTTTGTTCTGGCCACAAACATAAATTAGGTTGATTTCAAACGTATTCCATGTTTTAAGTCATGTGAAATCAATGTTTAAAATAAAAATAATGTTACGTTTATTTCAAAAATATTCGTGTTGAAAATAAACGTACTTATTTTTGTTTGGTTTGACAGCTATGCGAACAATAATAAATATGTTTATTTTAAACATGCTTCTGATGTTTAAAATAAACATACATATTTTTGAATTATTTTAGTAGTTGAGTGCAGGGTAAAGCAAAATTAAACGGTTTGCAAAGAAATGAAAAAAAAATCATCGGGCAGGGCATCTTAATTCCTGCTCTTCTTCGGGTGCGATTAAGGGTGACCTGTGAGTATTGGGGTCCTGGTCCGGGATGCAAGGACCCCTCGGGGTGGGTGTCCGGGGGTTCCAGTTCAGTTGAACCGGTGCAAATTTGTGTTACTAGCGTCGTTTTGCCGATTCTGCCTCGGTTTCTGCCACTGGTTCTCATACCGGTTTCTTTCCTTGTTCGGTATCGGAGGAGGATCCGGAATGGATTCGGAATGGATGGCCGTTTTCTGTTGAGGTTGAGCAAAGCTGGGGCAACCTTTTCCGAATGTAACAAGAAGGAAATAAAAAGACATGACACGCTAAAAACCGTTTACCCAAATCCTATATTGTTGAAATAAACATGCTTTTGAATTTAATTCAAACATAAATATTTTAGTTTTAAACATGCTTTCAATTTACTTTGAATAATTCATATGTTTAGAGTATAAACATTTATATTTTTGTTTTAAATGAACAAAATTCGTCACATTCTCTAAATGCAACGACGAGGCTGGTGACCGACGCTTTTCAGCGATGTCTAAAAATGTTGCATGGCATTATCATGGCAATATGAGTGAGCACAGGGATCCCCATGTCCTTCAGAAAACGCTGATGTTCCATCTGCATTTCTATGCTGTCCACTACGTCCGATGTAACATCCCACATCAACATTTCCTAGATAGGCCTATTGTTTTTTGATAGTATTGAATAAGGTGCTTTTATTTTCAAATACTGCATTTTTCTTACCTTTCCAATTTACGAAACGAATCCTTATCTACCTCTGCAGCCAATTGATTCATTCCTTTATTCTAAATTTTCAAAACTTCAAAGGGAAATCGGAAGTTTAATCACCAACAAAAAATTTCACTTTTGTTACAAGTATTTGACATAAGCATGGTGAGTAACATTTGTGCAGGATTACTCAGAAATGAGTAAACAATGTTTTTAGACAAACAGAGGAGAAGTTACTCACTTTGCTCAATCAATGTTACTCAGATTTTGACATTTTGTACAAAAATACCAAACTGAGTAGAAATTACTCACTTTTGAGTAACATTGAGCGAGCGTGAAGCGAGTATTGTCTGTTTTATTCGAGACAATACTCACCGAAACGTAATAAACGAAATAACGTGCTCACCTTTTTGGCTCAGCTCTGTTACTTTCTTCGGTCCCAAGCTAATCGATTCACCCCTCGAAACATAGGAAAAACCAATAACCCCTCATTTTATCTGTCAAACTTTCATAGCGAATCAAAACAAACATTGCGTAGTACTAGAATTTTGACTAGAATGGGATACGTTAATCGTTTGCTTGGGACCAATAGGCTAGTCAAGTAGTGAGCCAATTTTAAATCATTAGTTTCGTATTGATTGTTGGTATTACCAACAATCAATACGAAACTAACGATTTTAAATTGGCTCACCACTTTAGTAGCCTATTGGTCCCAAGCAAACGATTAACGTACCCTATTCTAGTCGAAATTCTAGTACTACGCAATGTTTGTTTTGATTCGCTATGAAAGTTTGACAGATAAAATGAGGGGTTATTGGTTTTTCCTATGTTTCGAGGGGTGATTCGACAAGCTTGGGACCGAAGATAGTACCAGAGGTGAGCCAAAAAGTTGAGCACGTTTCTTCGGGACCTACTTGTCTTAGAGTTACCTCTATGGTATTACCGAGGGGCGATAAACTTCATAAATCAGCTGAAATGTAAATACACACTTCAAAAAATACAGAAAAATACGTTAATGTGTACACGTTAAAACTAAAATACCATAAATGAAATACACAAAAATACGTTAAAAGTACTTTGTACACGAAAATTACATATCATAATGAATTCAATACACTTTAATAAAAAAAAATACACAAAACTTATAAATACATCAATACAGAAAAATACAAAATACAGCTTTAAATTCGGGGAGATGAATCGAAAACACCCATCGGCTAGAATATTGTTTTTGATTCCAAAAACTAGTTGATTTTGAGAAGTACACGAAACATATAAAGGTGATTGAATTTCTGTTCGATTGCAATACTCTCAAATTTAATGTAGTAAGAATAAGAAATCATCGGAAAAAAATCTAATGGGAATGTTCGATTGGCTCAGATTTCGACAAAATCTGAGCCAATCGAACATTCCAATTAGAATTTTAAGAGGATTTATTATTCTTACTAGAATAAATTTGAGAGTATTGCAATCGAACAGAAATTCGATCACCTTTATGTTTTTTGTGCTTTCTCAAATTCAACTAGTTTTTGGAACCAAAAACAATATTCTAACTCTATTGATTAATTGATCTTCGTTGGTTAATTCATGGCACCAAGAAATGTGCAAAATATTGCGATTCAATCAATTATTATTTTGCACGTAAATCGAATCAAAAATAAAAGTCATTTGAAATGCTAGCTTCTAGCAAGGGTTGCAAGATAATTTAGGAACAAATCCCTGCTGCCGAATTGTATTTTGTTTTCTCCGCCTATCTCTCCCTCTGAGTATTTCTAGTTTACACCTCCGGTGAAGTGAAAATCTGACAGATACGCTCTTTCTCGAAACGTCAACTTTTCGCTTAGCTGCTGCTCTTTTCACGAGCAGCTGCATGCATGAAAAAAAGTAAACGTAATCGAAAAAGACGTGATCCACAAAATTCGATTTCGCTGGATCGTATCTGTTTATAGCTCCAAACGAAGTGAAATATTCGTGAATTTCTTTTTTCGGCGGACATTGATTGCCATCCATTGACGACAATCGGATGTGCAGGAAGGCAGCTTCCACATCTGCGTAGGATATCGCACCCATTCAAACACACATGGGCCGGGACCTACGGCTTCACTTCCCTTCCGAAGGAAGACGTAACCAGCAATTTTTATGCCTCAGAAAAATCCCACCGACCTCGGCTGGGATTGAACCCAGACCCATTGGGGTGAAAAAGCAGTCAGGCTTACCACTACACCACCGGCGCCGGCTCACGTAGGTGCAAAAAGTAGTAGTTTGTATGTTATTTTCACTGCTTCGATTTCTATACAAGCTGCGGCCAAGGTTGACGCGACACGTGACGTGACGCGATGCGACTCACGCAAGAAATAATAATAAATAATAAGATACTTTTGAATTGGTCGCGTCGTGTTTCATGTCTACCCTGGCCGCGGCCTTAAGCGAAAAGGACGTTTCAAGAAAGAACGTATTACTGTCAGATTTTCACTTCGCTGAAGATGGTAAACTGATCGATTTCGTTTCAAGTGAACCGTGAACTGCGAAAAAAGAAAATTAAAATGTTCCGCAACCATTTTTTCACCACCTTTTTCGCTAGCGAAATTTCATGATTTTTAACTTGCTTCAAATTTAGCTTTGCTTTGAACTGTATACTAGCAACCGGTGGAAACTAACGATTTTAAATTGGCTCACTGCTTGACTAGCCTATTGGTCCCAAGCAAATCGATTAACGTACCCCATTCTAGTCGAAATTCTAGTACTACACAATGTTTGTTTTGATTCGCTATGAAAGTTTGACAGATAAAATGAGGAGTTCTTGAATTTTCCTATGTTTGGAGGGGCGCATCGATTAGCTTGGGACCGAAGATAGTACCAGAGCTGAGCCAAAAAGTTGAACACATTTCTCCGGGACCTACTAGTCTTAGAAGAGTTATTTTTGTAAATCAATTTTTTCACGCTGTTGAAAAATTGGGCTACAATGTATGGGATTTTCGATTTCCTTCGATCTCTACACAGACCTTAAAATAGCAACGGCTAAAGTTGTCAAATTAGCAGTCCGAATAGTAACGCACCGGTGCGGGTGGTCTAAATAATAGCAAAGCTGGCGCTAACCAGCACCGAACATTCTTAACTCTGGCTGCATACTGATGTCTGATCGACGCCATCAGAAATTCGAGATAAAAAACGGTGAAAGGTCTAGATTTGAATGTGCAGGAAAAAATGTCGAATTTTCGCAAACGAAACGCTGAAATAATTGAGAATCAACCCAAGAGAATCTGCCTAAAGTATCACGATGAGCACCGTGATATTTCCGAACAGCAGTCCATTGTAAAAGTTAAAGAATCAACGGATGTTGAGTTGTAAGTTAAGTATCGACAGTGATTTTCTCTTGTCGGTAGCCAGTGCTTATTCCGAAGGCCTTTTGACCAGTTGCATTTTCTCCTAACATTCTAGCTCATCGTTGCACCATGGCAAATTAGTCGAGGAACTGATCATGCTGGATCGGCACGACCCAACTTTAGCGTCCCGCGTTGGCTGCGAGCTACTCTTGGACGACAACGTGACCCAAACATTCTGGACCATGTCGTTCCACATGAAGAACAACCTGTACCTATCGGTAAAAGGTCACGATGAAATTCAACAAGTTTTCCTATTTCGCCTGTCGGTGAAAGTCCTGCACCCGGAGCTGACGATCCAGGTCAGCAAATACTCCGTTGTCCACAATGGGTATGCCAGCTTGAGTCTTTCAAGCGTGCCATCTTTGCGCGACCAAGGTTACCTTTGGGGTGGTCGCTGGATTAAGTTGATCGTATCGCTCGAACCGATCAACATAATCGTGAGGGAGGAAATTGCCGATTATTTGCGCGAAGAGTACGACGATCTCGATAGCTGGACGTTCGACCTCCGGAAGGTACGCATGTTTCGATTCCAGGTGAGTTATAGCAAACTGTGCAACCAGCGGAAGACGCTCGTTTTCCAGCAGGAAATGGGAGACCAGAAGGGGTATTCGTGGACGGTGAAGATAATGCTCATGAAGTGTTCCTCGAACAAGTTGCAATTGGAGCTGGTGATCGTTCAGAATGAGGGTGACGACAAGAAGTACGGCAATTATATAGGAATATGTATGTTTGAAAGTAAATAACGTGATATGAATCATTACAGATGCTACTATTTCATTCAACTGGCCAATGAAAGGGTGATTCTCTGCATGCGGCGTAATTTTGATTACGAAAAGTACAGAGACGACGACGACGGATACGTGATGCGAAAGGTATTCGAAAATGATCAACTATTCAGTGTGAATCCTCGAGACAGATATGCTGGATGTTTTGAGATTGACTTTGCAATCAGTGCCGTTGACTGTGTGTATTGATATGAGTGCATGTGTTTGGATGTACTTTGAAAGTAAGTATTTTTGTAAGCTGTTGTCTACGTCCGCAAACCGTTCACTTGTTTGGTAACGTCTGAATTTGTAGTTTTTAAGAATAAAAATAATTTGTCGTTTTATCATAAAATCAAAAGGATTCGGACCTTCCTTATCACATAACCGCTTCGGAAGACTGAGGTTGAGAGTTAAGTTGAGAATCCCAAAAAATTGTCTGGGAAAAGTGAACCCTAACACGATGGGGCTTATTACGGATATCACTTCATGGTTAAAACTTGCCACTTGTCGTCACGGTGAAGTGATTCCCATTTGATTTGTACGGCAATCACGGGCATCTGATCGTTCCTGTTTCTAGCGAACGGCAGCAGCAGTATGAATTCAATTTCACCACTCCCTTATGTGCGGTACCGTGAGGGTGCCTTATTCTGCGCAGCTCCTAATTCTGCGCATTTTTTCATTAAAACATTTTTTGAATTCTATTTACGGCTATAATCATCTTTATTACATCTTTACAGCACTGAAAACGTCAAAAAATGGCATCCGTTAGCAGCAGCGCTAAGAAGCCCGTTTGAAAACATTTCTCATTTGTAAACATTGGAGTGTGTTTATTTCATTCATTTTTGTGCTGATCGCTAGATGTAAGTATTTTTAATTTGATCCAAATGGATTTCAGTGCATATCGAGTATATTGCACTGTAAAAGAAGTAATTTATTTTGCGCAAAATATGGTACAAATATTGACTGCATGTTCCTAAATCTGCGGATAGGGCGAGAAAATGAGTTCCGGAAGAAAACATATGCAGTACACTCCCCAGCAAGTTGAGTCGGCAATTCTAATGATAAAGAAGGGCTTTTCTATTCGCCAAGCTTCCAAAGCACATCACGTTCCGGAAAGTACGTTAAGAGCAACACTGGCTCGCGGCTCCGTATCTCATCATCCCGGTAAGCCAACCGTTCTAACAAAGGAAGAGGAGGATCGTATTGTGCAATGGATAATTGATTCAGCAAAAGTTGGCTTGCCAGTAGATTCCTTGCGCTTAAAAGTATCCGTGTCATATTACCTTGGTATTACACGCAAGTCGAATAATCCGTTCGCTGTAAAAGCTCCTGGACGTAAATGGTTAAAACATTTTCTTGGCCGACATCCGAACATTGCTCGTAGAATTCCAAGCGCTTTGTCTAAACAACGGACGTGTGTTACAGAGAACCAAATTCGGAATTGGTTTCGTGAAATTCAGCAATTCATCCATCAGGAAGAGTTACGTGATGTTTGGCAAAACCCACAACGCGTTTTCAACATGGATGAATCGTCTATGCGATTAGTTCCCACGAAAGAGAAAGTTCTAGCGAAAGTCGGACAGAAATACGTTCACACGGCTAACGCAAACTCGGAGAAAGAATGCTACACCGTATTATTTTCGGCAAATGCAGCCGGATCGCTGGCGCCACCATTAGTTTTATTTCCATACAAGCAGCGGCTTCCTGCGGAAATAGCGAACAGTGCGCCAGATGGTTGGGCTATCGGAAAAAATGTATCGGGATGGATGAACCAGGAAACCTTCTATTACTATCTGAAGAACGTGTTCTATCCGTGGATTATCAAAAGCGATATTCCTCTACCGATTGTGATTTTCGTCGACGGGCACAAGTCCCATGTGTCCTTTCAAACAACAGAGTTTTGTCGAGCTAAAAAGATTGTACTGATTTGTCTCTTCTCGAATTCCACCCATGTACTGCAGCCATTAGATGTGTCGTTTTTCAGAGGGTTGAAAGTGCAGTGGAATAAGCATCTTATTGAGTGGCGCACTTTCCATGCTGGTGAACCCATAAAAGGCACGAGTTTACGCTGTTGCTAAAACGGGCTGTTGATAACATTCCAAATATGGCAAAAAATATCAAAAACGGATTTCGCAAATGTGGATTATTGCCGTGGGATCCAGACGCTGTCAACTACGAGATGCTTCTAAATACGGAAATCCAGCACAGCATTACGGTTCAAACCACAAGCTCTTCCGTATCAGATGCTAGCCCATTTTCCAATGCGACTGTTATCTTGGACGGATTAGAATCACATCTCACATTGCGACAATTGAAGAATTTTGAACAAAATCAAAAAAAGGTACAATGGCCAGGACAGGTTGAAGACGCTAATTTTTTTTACGTGTGGCAACGTGTAAAACAAGATGTAGAATCTGAGAAATTGTTGAAAGTTAACACGACTTTTTCGTCAGAGGACGATTGCTTCCGTGGATTCGAGGAATTTGATCTAGACGGTAGTATCTTACTATGACATTTACAGTTTTCCTAATCATGCATGCAACAATATTTTCAGCCGATCGACGAAAGCTTCTTGTTAAGTACCAACTTCAAAGCACTGTCGAAAAAGATCCTTCTCCGTTAGAAACAGGTGATATCAGCCAAGGAAACCCTTTGGCGATGGAAAATTTTCGTGCTTCTGGTGATTGCATCGGTAATATTGTTTATGAGAACGTACCAATTTAGTATATTTATTTCCCATAATTGATATTTTCAGATGATTGCCATTCTATCGTTGGGGAACCCATTATCAGAAGCGCTATTAACCCAGGTACCGGTCGTCCGGATTGTATGCAAGAAGCAGGTGGAAGTCAGCATCAATCAGTGACAGATTCTTCAAACGTGAATTTTGGAACCACGCACATTGCAGAACCAGAACATGGCATCGACGATGACTTTTTCGACAAAGCTTTTCAAGTACCCTCTTCTGCGGCGCGTAAAACTCGTAAATTAAAGAAGTATAAACCACGGCCTCCATCTGTGGCTACGAGTGAGGCATTCAAGGCTTATTTTGAAACGATGGAATTAGAAAAGCATACGCAAGAGCAAGAAAAACAACAAAGGAAGGCCATTCGAGAAGAAAAAAGTTTGGCAGCGAAGAAAAAGCTGGAAACACTTACTGGAAAACGCCAGCGAAAGCTTTAAGGAAAAGGCTGAAGGAGCTGGTACTAATTTGGCAGAAATTGAATAGACAGTTGTGAAAAAAGTGATAAAGTTTAAATTATGATAAAGTTTGCTTTAGAAAGATTTCCAAGAAAAGTTGATTAATTTTTTTGTACATAAATGCTTAATACTCATACAAGAATAAATACCATGATTTTACATGCTGTTTTTTTTTGTGCGCAAAATTAGGAACACAGTGCGCAGAATATGGAACATTTGAAAAATGATGCGCAAAATTAGGAACATCATCACATACTCAAAAAATACTTTGTTTCATGTTACCGTTTTTCATTAGATCAACATTTATATTTTTATGTATACCTACATGCTAGAGCTATACAAATACTAAATCAAAATATTTCAAAACAATGCTGAATTTTTCTAGAAACTCTTTTTTTGTAGAAAATGTCTTAAGTGCGCAGAATATGGTACCATCACGGTACTTGGTATACCATTCGATTCTACAATGATTCGACACTACGCTTTGCATTCATACATACGGATGCACAGTAAAGCGAATAGATACCAAAAAGCATTTCCACTTTCTCTTCTTCAAAATCCTCTCCCGTACAGTCGCTCCCTTTCACTCTGGTTTCATTCCAGTTTTGATTTCATTCGGGTTCCTTTTTTCGTTTAGGCTTGGAAATGTCCGAAAAAGACAGTCAATGAACGGCATTCATCGAGCAAAGTGGTTGGTGTGTTTGATGCTAAAAAAAAAGTTGGTTTGAAAGAACAATGGAAAATCCAGGCAAACGTAAGTTTCGAAGAAAAGGTTTAATAAATTTTGAAAAAAAAAACCATTTCTACCTGTTTGGTTTTTGAATAATAACATTCAAGAATCAGTATGATTTTTTATTATCAGAATGAGAGTAGTTTAACACTCCGAACCCGATACCTCCGGTAAAATGTGTAACGGAAAATTGGCACAGTTTGAAAAATCATTGCTCAGCAATTTATCGATAGATTTTAAATCAGTTGATACCGAATAAATCTTCAAAGTCTGTAGTTTCAAGCTCGGTTTCAAGTTCCGTAAAAAGATTTGAAATTTGTCAATAACTCGCTGAGCTATGATTTTTCAAACATGACAAGTTTGTCGTTACACATTTTACCGGAGGCATCGTGTTCGGAGTGTTAATGAATCTATAGTTCCCAGGATAGTTCCTTTTCATATAGGATTGTTTAATATATTTTTTATTAAATTGTCGACCTATTAACTTCTACCTTTTAGAAATTCATCATAAATACATTTGCACGGATTTCAGAATTGAATGAGGAAACACCTTGCACTCAGCATGCCACGTTTACTGCTGTTCCAGCTGTTCAGCAGGATGAACTGGACAGTTTTTTAGCGGACATGTTTGGAGGCTGTCTAGCAGGTTCAAGCGGAGACCCGAAATGGATTCCAAACAAAACGCATCCAGAACAGTTAAGTGTGTTGGATGTTGGATGTTGGATTGCGACAACCACACCATGTCAACGTTTGGGAGTACTGGGCACAGAAGAAAACCATGCAAAAGGATCTCTTTGAAGCAGCTGCAGTAATTTACGCCGTTCCATCGACGAAAGTATCAGTGGAACGTGCTTTCAGTGCTCTGGCGTTAACGTTTTTAGATCAGCGCACATCCTTGGGTGAAAACACCCTAGAAGATTAGCTCACTGTCAAACTAAACCAACAATTTCTTGACAAGATATTTTTGAACTCAAATAATAGAAGTAATGGAAGGGTGATGTTTCAATGATCTTCAAGACAACGTGCATTCATTTTTTTAACAAGCAGATAAATAAAAACCGAAGAAGAGTAGATGTTTGTATAGTTTTTGACTTATTAATGTCATGCCGAGTTCTTATATATCATCATCGTATGACAGTTGACGAGTTTAGTCACGTTAGCTCCGTAAATATTAATATTTTCATAGATTTCTTGAGTTCTAAAATGGTATGAAACATCCATTTCCGACTTCTACAAGTTACGCTGTTTCCGGAAATATCCATATTGTATGGTATTTGCAGATTCATAGTGTTCTAGTACATCGGAAGTCGTTATGTTGTATTCCAAAATGGCGTCGAACATCCATTTCTGCCATCTACATTCTGCACCGGTTCCGAAAATATCCATATTGTATGGAATTTCACGAGTATTCATAGTGTTCTAGCATATCGGAGGCCGGCATCTTGGATTTCAAAATGGCATCGAACATCCATTTCTGGCATCTACATTCCACACCGGTTTGGGAAATATCCATATTGTAAGGTTTTTGACGAGTATTCATAGTATTCTAGCATACCTGAACCTGAAGACGCCATCTTGGATTCCAAAATGGCGTCGAACATGCATTTCTGGCATCTACATTCCGCACAGGTTCCGAAAATATCCATATTGTATGGCTTTTGACGAGTATTCACAGTATTCTAGCATATCGGAAGTCGCCATTTTGGATTTCAAAATGGCGTTGAACATACATTTCTGGCATCTACATTCCGCACCGGTTCCGGAAATACCCATATTGCATAATGTTTGACGAGTTTTCACAGTATTATAGCAAACATAGGTCGCCATCTTGGATTCTAAAATGTCAAACATCAATTTCCTGCATCTACATGTCATATCGGTTCCAAAAATACTCATATTGTGTGGTATTTGACAAGTTTAATTGTTTGCCTAATCGTGCAGGAGTCCTTCATTTACTTGCTGTTTTCCAACGCTCAACCCGCGCTAATATGACTGCCGATATATAAAAAAAGATATCATCGAGATGAATCGTATCATACTTATATATTCCAAGCGCTGCTATCTCACACTGGAAAGGAAAATAATGTGTGTGCGAAATGCTTCCGTAATCCGGCTGAATTTACAGCTCCCGCAGTTATCAATCAACTTGACCAGAGCAGAAGGAATGTATTTAAAAATCGGCATCTACAAAGCAACTGCACAAAGCACAATGCAACGTAGAAAGGAAATCTGACTGTTTTTAGATCCCGTTCAGTGCGACTGTTTTTTTCATTAGGTTCAGTGAATGCCGATCACTGCGAATGATGAATGCGAATAATGTACAAGTTCATGCAGTCACAGGCAGAATGCGTTCCCTCTTCAAGCCCTAATCACGGCTCTTATTCTGAGTATCACTTCCTTACCACCGTGTAGTGACACCCGTAATAAGGCCCGGTTACTTTTATTGTCAATAATTGTATTGTCAAAACATTCTATATTAGCAGACCGCACACGGGCAAAAATATCGTCAATACTCAAAAGACGAAGAAAATACGAGCTTTTGCTCCAGCCAAAAAATGTGGTGTGTTATTATTATTCTCACTTTCGGACCAGAATACTCGCGCACATGGAACTTCCTATCACCCATATTTTTGTTTTCGTTCGAACCGTATTTTCCATACATTTTTTTTTTGTATGGAAAATACGGTTCTAACGAAAACAAGAATAAGTGTCGTTCAGATTAGCGAAGGTTCACGGTAGTTTTTTTTTCAACTCGCTCGAACACGCCCGTTGAAAGCTTAAGAGGAAGAGATAGATAAAGATAGAGATAGAAATAAAAGAGGAAGAAGCCAATTCGACAGTGAGCATACATAAGGGCGTATACGTGATGATCGATTCTCTTCATCAACTTTCTCTCTGCAATAACTGCAGCTAAGCGAAACAATTTTCTAGAATTTGTTCAATGCAGAGTTGTAACAGGTTGTATTGGCTATCAAAAGAACAGCAAACGCACCGAGAAACGTTAATTCTAGCGAGTTATTAACAAAAGAGAAAATCGACGAAGAGAATCAATCATCACGTTTACGCCCTTATGCATGCTCACTGTCGAATTGTCACCTCTTCCTCTTAGGGGAAAACCCTCTGGTGAAAACAACTGACAGCATTTTCATACATTTTTCATCGGGCTCACGTCACACATCAGCTGGCCGCTGCACGCTAACTTGAAAGTACTCATTAATGAGTAAAAAAGACCCATTTTGAAGAAAAGTGGCTTAACTCATTAATGATTAAACAATTTTACCCATTAATGAGTATCTGTTACCCATTAATGATTAACAATTACTCATTAATGGGTAACAGATACTCATTAATGGGTAAAAAATTTACTCATTTAATGAGTTAAGCCACTTTTCTTCAAAATGGGTATTTTTCAACCATTAATGGGTACTTTCAAGTTAGCGTGTGGTGGGAGCTTTTGTCAAAAACGCAAAAAGTGTCAGTCCCAGTCAGTCAGCAAAATAAATGGAAAAAAGTTGTTTACCTGGAAAAGTACCCTTTTCTTTTAAATCGCGTTCTTTCGCAATACCTAGTTCCAAAATTGAAAAATCAATACCCCGTGCAAAATTCCCGTACCGTGTTCATAAGGTTCTCACAACTGCGGGCCGGGGTGGTGACGGTGAGTGTTCGAGCGATGGCATCGATCAACGATCTCCCGAACGAGATCCTGGAGTTTATCTTTGGCCTGATTCCGCCCTACCAGGATCTGGAGCAGTGTGGCTCGGTTTGCAAACGGTGGGCTTCGCTGGCCAGAAGTAAGTTTTGTTCAGTTCTTGTATTTCTTTCTCATGGCAAAATGTACAACTCCATATAGATGTACGAATACGGAAGAAAGCGATCCTGCAGAAGGGACTGATGGATTTCAATCTCTGCTGGAGGCAGGAGATCCTGAGTGGACAAACTCCGAGCATAGCGGCCCGATTTGCGCATGCCAGCTCGGTCCATCGGAATTCGATGTACGTATTCGGAGGAGCTTCGTCCTACGATACGACCTTCAACGATTTGTGGCGGTTTGATCTGAGCCGAAGGGAGTGGATCCGACCAATTTCGATGGGCACATACCCATCACCGAAGGCGGGAGCTTCCTTGGTTTGCCATAACGATCTGCTGGTGCTGTTTGGTGGCTGGAGGCATTCTTACACACCATTCCAGATGTGCACACTGTTCGATGAGTTACATGTGTATAATATTGCCGATAATAGGTGAGGGTGTTGAATTGGTTTTAGTTTGACCGAGTATTGAATGACTTTTGATTCTAGGTGGACTATTCATAATTTGGCTTTTGGACCGCCACCAATGACGGGTCACTCAGCTACGGTTCACCGCAACAAGATGATCGTCTTTGGAGGCTACCAAAATACGATGGAGAATCTTGGGACTTCAAATGATATCTGGGTCTTGGATTTGGAGAAATTGGCTTGGAAAAGGCCTACGGTTTCAGATTTGAAGCCACCGGCTCGTTACGGTCAGTTTCAGATGGCGATCGGCGAGGATCACATACTAATCCTGGGCGGAACCGGTGGAGTCAATCGAATATTCAACGATGCGTGGTTGCTGGATATGAGAAACGATACATGGCGTTGGCGGAACGTTCAAGTGAGGAACAAAAGAGGAACCGTCACTCACAACTGGAGTTACCCGGCATGCAATATCGGATCAAAGGTTATTGTGTTAGGACCAACCTCCCCAAATGATTTCCAAATCGTTCGACAGCACAGACCAGCGAACCATGGTTTGCACCCACCGAATCTCGGTAGATCTCGCCCGCCCAATGCCGGTGACCGAAATCGAGCAGTTGAACCAAATATTCCACCACGACAGAATCCAGTAAGGCCTCCACCGCCTCCACCACCGCTAGCCCCAGTAATCCCTGCAATTCCAGCTGTCCCAACACAAAATCTTTCCCCTCGCGAACCCGAACCCCGACCAGGTCCATCAAGAATTCCTTCTCCAAATCCTCCAGCCCAACCGGTCGCTGGTCCTTCCCGTTCAACACCGTCAATCCGGAGCCCGCTCTACCGACATCAACAGGACGACGAACGCATGCTACCGAAACGCTTCAATGAGGCTCCTTCCGAGCACGGTCACATGGCGATGGCTGCCTTTAGCGTCCCCCCAACCAACCCACCGCCTGTACATGCCTCCCGGGAACGACAACTTGAACGGCTTCGTAAAATGGAAGAGAAAATCTCCGCCATGCGAAGGGATCAACGAGAACAGCAGGAACATGCTGCCGCAGCAGCAACTGCTGCTATTCGCAATGCACTGCCACCTGCGTTGGAAGTGGCCCCAGTCACGCCAAAAAGAATCAAACGAAATGGCCTAGCAATTTACGTTTGTGATATCTCGCAACTGCTCAGCAACGACGGCAAGGAACCGACTATCGAGTGGCAGGAAACGAAGAACAGTGGCCTCATTGCCGGAGCGCCCGACCATTTCACCTTCTCGACCATGGTGACTGGAAACGGCGAGCTGATAGTGTTCGGTGGGCTCAACAAGAACCCGAAATCGGAAAGCTCGAGCGTAACCAATTCGGTTCACTTTTTGACGGTCCCAACGACGATCGTGTGAACCCACATAAGAAAGGACATAAACCATTGCGTGTGTTTGTATGTTATTTGCGCGCTTTGCTAATTTTTAATAATTTTCTTATGTGATTGTAAAATATGAAATGTAAAATAATGCTAACATTTTACTATATAAGCCAGTTCAAATAAATTTCTTTTTCTCTCTTCAAAAAAGACCAAGTATTATTCATCGATCATTCATAGTTTATTATTCGTCACTCATCCATTTTAGGAACAAAAGAACACGCACACCACCCACGCTAAATATCAATGCCCTCCTGTTGCACCAGGATGGTTTTGATCTTCTGCAGCAGTTCCTTCTTGACGGTGTCGGGGATCAGGGCCCGTGCCTTCGGAGTGACCTGCTGCACCAGCGCGTCGCAGTTGATGCTGTCCTGCTCTTTGATGGCTTCACGGCACAGTAGCCGTACCTGGTCGCTCCACCCGCAGGCGTTCAGCCGGAGACGCAGCAGGTCCTTAAGCCTGTTGAAGAAAGGAAATCATCTGCTTAACGACTAGAGATCCATTGCTGCACACGAAGCGAACTTACTTGGAACGATCCCCTTGCAGGATTGTGGTTTGGTCAACGCTTTTTGTGAATGTCATTTTGTTTTGAGCCAGCTAAGATTCCAATTTGCATTCGGTTTTGATAAAAACAAAATTCACTGTCTTTAAATCTGGCTCCAACGACAGCGTTCTTTTGTTTTGGTCCGGGTGTGAAGCTTTTATGATGTGCTTTCATTTTACGCGCTGTCAAACTTATGCTGGCAAAAAGCTGTACGTTTACAGTGAAGGCTGGAAAAAGGGACCGTGTCATCCAGTGTTCCCTAGAAATACTCAGAGGGAGAGATGGGCGGAGAGAATATTTTGAGCCAAATGAACTGGGGCCTCCCTTAGCTCAGTCGGTAAAGGCGCAGCAACAAAGCAATACCATGGAGGTAGCTGGGTTCAATTCCTGGTCCGGTCTAGGAATTTTTCGGGTTGGAAAATTTCTCGACTTCCTTAGGCATAGAAGTATGATTGGACTTGCCACGCAATTATGCCAATGCAAAAATGGTACAGGCATCGAAAGCTCTCAATTAATAACTGTGGAAATGCATCTAGAACACTAAGTTGAGAGCACGCTATAAGCTAATTGGCAAATCAAAGTTGGCACTCGTGGAGAATAGAAGTACTATGAGAGTGATGATGGTTTCAAAATTTTACACGGTGAGGTATACGAGTGCAATCTTAAAATGCTATTATTTTGCAAATTGAGCATTTTATTTAAATCTGGTTAATGTTACGTTAGTAGAAAACTTAAGGACTACCCAAGTAACAATTTCCAGTTGAAGAAACGCTTTCGTTTTGATTTTGTTCAGCTGCAAGTTGAATAATAATTGCACAATGTGTTAACCACAACTTTTATAAAACCCTTGTTTACACTGGTTTGGAGAACCTATATGTCGTGACCGGACCGAGGTTTCCAGCCTCGGTCACGGCTACACGAATCTCGGCTGCTATGCTTCACTGCAGCTGATGCTGTTCCTGCTGCTGCTACTGCTGCTGCTGCTGCTGCTGCTGCTCGTCCGTCGTCTTCAACGTTCGTCACAAGAATGACTTCTGCAAGCTTAGGTAGCCCATATTTATACCCAAAGAATGTTCCCCCTTTTACACAGCGCTGATAGCTGTCTCGGGATTTGCCCTCACAAAGCAATGATAATTAGATTTTATTTACATTCACGCTTATTTGGGTTTACTCAAATTAAGCGTTTCATTACTTGACTTAATTTTCATTTTTTTTTAAACATTATTATTTCACACCTACTATATCTACCACATTCTTCCCCTCTTCTACTCTTATGAATACAAATGCAAACTTATTTAGTTTTGATTTATTACTTTTTTTTTTTGCTTGCATACACAACCCAACTGTACCATTTTATTTTAAATTTTGCAATAAAATTCAACATACACACATTAATTTCATCGCTGACTTCTGACAGTTTCATAATTTTCCATCTATATGCATCACCTTTAAAATTTCTGCCTATTTCACTATGACCGTTTACTTCATTAGCATCAATGTCCACACTATCTATTTCTAAAATGCCATAAACTTTATTATGAAATTGAACTTCAGCAAGATATCAAGTTCAACATTACCGTTCACTTCAAGTTTGGAATAAGCTGTAATATAATTATTATTTTCACACATTACTTACATTAAATTGGGCTTACAGCCAACTTTATCATCAACATTACTTTTACTATGAATTTCAAAAATATGCACCAATTTAAGGTTCTACAATCATCTTCAAAATTGCTTTCATTTACAACATTTTGTATATTGCTATAAATTACAATGCTGTTGCCAATCACTATTACCAACAATCAATACGAAACTAACGATTTTAAATTGGCTCACCACTTTAGTAGCCTATTGGTCCCAAGCAAACGATTAACGTACCCTATTCTAGTTGAAATTCTATTACTACACTATGTTTGTTTTGATTCGCTATGAAAGTTTGACAGATAACATCAGGGGTGTGTGGATTCATGCAGAACATGCAGGGGTGAGTGAAATAGCTTGGGACTGCTTGGGACCGTTGTTCTGGTACTGAGTGAGCCAAAAATAATAATGATTTTCTTCGGGACCCAGTGGTCTTAGAGTTACCTCTATGCTATTACCATCATATTATTCAATATTGCTAATAACTTCCATGTATGTCAACTGCGTTATCCACTTTGTTATTTCAATCTATTTATTTATTTATTTGTCGTCAATCAAGAGTAGACCATTTTGATACAATCAACACATACACTTGGTTCTATATTACCATGAACTTCAACATCATGAACAATAAAGCCAGCAACCTCAATGATTTAATCAACTCTAGCATTTATATCAATCTCATCAACCAAAATAAACATCAACAGCATTATTAATTCATGCTTAAATTCCATGCTTAACTCAATTAATAATGTCAGCTTCAACATTGCCAACTCAACTCACATCATTCTCGTAAAGTTTAGTAACTTTAGCAAACAACCGTCCACTTCAAGTCTGGAATGAGCAAAAATATAATTATCATCTTCAAACATTACTTGCAAGCCAAACTTTTTCGTCAACGCCACTTTGAATTTAAAAATACATCAACTTTAACAATGTCGAAAACTACATCATTATTTACTATCAGCACATCAATCCTAAATTCATCTTAAACTTTACCATTGCTGTCACCTGCAACATTAAAGTCAACATCCAAGTCACCATACATAAATCTGAATATTGACCTCAACTTCAGCAATGTCATCAACATCAACATATTACCATAGAGGTAACTCTAAGACCGCTGGGTCCCGAAGAAAATCATTATTATTTTTGGCTCACTCAGTACCAGAACAACGGTCCCAAGCAGTCCCAAGCTATTTCAGTCACCCCTGCATGTTTTGCATGAATCCACACACCCCTGATGTTATCTGTCAAACTTTCATAGCGAATCAAAACAAACATAGCGTAGTAATAAAATTTCAACTAGAATAGGGTACGTTAATCGTTTGCTTGGGACCAATAGGCTACTTAAGTGGTGAGCCAATTTAAAATCGTTAGTTTCGTATTGATTGTTGATATTACTCTCTTGTTCAACATCATCGCCAATTTAAATATTGAAACCAATGTCAACATCGTCATTATCTTCAATAACTAACTCATCGACAAAAAAATTTGACACACTTAGGCAACTACTTTCGCTTTCCATGTCGATTTTATTCTGACAGCCTCATCATTCTCCATCTATATGTATCACCTTTAAAATTTCTGCCCATTTAACTATGACCGTTTACTTTATTGGCATCAATATCCACACTATCCATTTCTAAAATGCCACTAACTTTATTATGAAATCGAACTTCAGCAGTGATATCAAGCTCAACATCACCGTGTACATCAACATTACCGACAGAGTGGCCGATTTCATTCTGGCAGTTATTTTACGTATTCTCGGCAAAACGAAAGTTTGGAATATGTCCGTCTTCGTTTTGACATATCTAGTATTTTCGGCAAAGTAATATGTGAATTCCGAAAACTTCCTGATTCTGCGCTCGAAATCAACTTATCTTTTAAATACAGATATCTAACTAACCAAAATACTAACGAAGTCTTCAACACACGTCTAAGAAAATCCTCTCAAAACTGTAGAGGATTTCACTTGATTGCTCTCAAACATCTTCTTAAAAAACAACCTCCCTTCGCAGAGATCTTATCTGAACAATCTTTCCTAAATTAATTTGAGATTCTCCCTGGGAGTACCTTAAATATTTCTTGATAACCAATCATAAATTTTCTGCAGAACAATCGAAAAAAATCATGAAATTCTTGAAATACATTCTCCAAGAATTGACTGAAACTCAATTTTTAAAATTCTCATGAATTATTCTTAGACTTCCTGTGCAATTTATATCAGAATTGTCCTACAATTTGCTCAGAAATATCCTGAAGTTCTCCTTCCGAAAACTCACACTATTCAGAAACTCTTCTTGAGTTGCCACTGAAAACGTTCTCGGAATTTCCTCAAAAACTCTTGGCACAAAACCATTGGAATTTTACCCTAAAAATTCGATTTCTTTAGTATCCCCCACGGATCCTGGAATCCTTCACAATCGCCATTGAAGCCTCCACAGAGCAACAAAAAAAAAATTCTCTGAGATCACACAATTGACTAGGACATTTTTACTGAAATACCGTGAAGTTATCTCTCGAATTCATTCTAAAATTTAACCAACATTACTTTGGAATATAAATCTTAAATTTTTTAGCAGTTTTTCAAAATGACTGTATCCTGAAATCTAGTCCAGTGATTTTTTCTTTATGGTTCAAAATCAATTTTTTTTTTTAACAACATAAATTAACATCAATTTATAATTAACCTATTTGCTTTGTTTTTTTCAATCTGCCACTCCATCGCTGGCTGCGTCAGGGAACCACCGAAAATTCTCTCCTCCACCATCCCTCTGACGGGGAACCTCTTTCATCTCCCGGCCCACTCCACTGTTCCTCCGTCAGGGAGCTTACCGGGAACATTCCGTTTTGTTTCCGTCCTCCGATCATTCCACCAGCGTACCGGAGACAATCCTCCTCCGTCACTCTGACGGGGAGACTCCCTTTTTTCTATCTCCCGGGCTAATCCACTGCCCCATCAGGGTACTCCTTTTTTTTTCGTCTTACGGCCTACTTCGCTGGCCATTCTGCCAGGGAGCCTACCAAAGAAATTTTTCCTCTGCCTCTTCTGACGGTGAGTTTCTTTTTTTTTTCTTTTATATCCCGGCCTACTCCACTGCCCTTCCGTCAGGGAGCCTACCGGGGATATTTTTGTTTTGTCTTCCGGCCTACTCAATTGGCCATTCTGCCAGGGAGCCTACCGGAGACATTTTCTATTTGCCCGTCCAGGGTAGTCTTTATTACATGTATTTTTTTTTTCCTTCTAATTCTCAGCCTACTCCGCCAAGGAGCCTACTGCAAACAATTATTACTGCTCCGCCCTTCCGTCGGAGAGTAATTTTTTTTCCATTACATTACACTATACTTACATTGACACTGATCTACCGACTGCGCCATTGTCGTGACCGGACCGAGGTTTCCAGCCTCGGTCACGGCTACACGAATCTCGGCTGCTATGCTTCACTGCAGCTGATGCTGTTCCT